TTGCAAGCACAAACACGTTGATTTTTCCGCAGCCATTTAGCTTACAACCCGTTGTGTCGCCATCATGGATAGACGCACTAGATCAAGATCCCCACGGGCATCAGAGTGGAGATGGCATTGGGCCACCAACGGATCTTCATGGTGGCGTGAATACTTCATTGCCTCCCGGGACTAGATCAACAGCCATGCACAACAAGTTGATCCGATTGAAGCATCGCCCACCACCACAACCGAGGAAGCAACTTCAACCACGTCAACACCTACAACTAGCAAGAGGAAGAGATCGCGAACCCCATGAGCAACACAACTGAGTTGATAATCAAATGCAGACTTGCCGCTCACAGCGGCCACCATGCACAGCAAAGATGTCGCAAAACTACACAAAGGCAAGAAGGTCTATCAGTTAAGAGCATAGACGTTGACGCCTCTCCCTTCTTTGCAGAAGCAACCAATCTTGGTTCCGTTACTGCAATACAGTTGCATGTGATCTTGACACTTCTCCGCTTGCGCCGCCGCAGCCATTTCATGTGACAACATATTGGCATACATTAAGAACATCGTGACTTCGTGTATAGATGGAGACGACGTCAGCTCTTGGGGATCTGACGAACTTGAGGCATTCTGGCAGAAGGATGACACTCAGCGTGCTTCTTCTAGCACCACCAAGAACCCCAACGTGGCACAGAACACCACTACAGTCACCAGGAAGAAGAACCAAGCCGAGGACGAGATCAGCTCCTGGAATTCCGATGAACTGGCAACGTTCATGAGGAAGGATAACCCTTCTTCAGACAACGAGGCGACACATGAAACCAACATGTCTGCTCAGAAAAAGAAGAGAAAACGTCGGAGAAGCACTTCTGCCAGAGCTGTGCCCATAAGAACCACATCCAAACAATGTCGTAAAAAGTCGAAGAAGTCCGAACAACAACTACTACGATCGTCGCCTTCGACGTCTCAAGCATCCCCCACTACATCAGCACCGGCAGCCACAACACTACATCGCTCTCCTTCCCGGGAACCTTGGTCTTCGGAGTCTATTGCTCCATATGATGCAGTGTACCCGCCAGCAATGTACAGACGATCGAATCGACCATGTGCCAAGATGCTTGTGCGCGCCGGCCTTCGTTGCCAGTGTCACTTTTCGCTGGTAAGGGAATGCCCCTTCAATCCTCGTTTCAGTTCTGACAACGACCGATGACCGCTTTTGGTGAACAAAGCGCGATTACGCCCCAGCCGGGGCTGTGTGTGTTTGTGTGTGAACCTCCCTAGCACATGGGAGCAGAGGGTCACTCCTTTTGTGTTTGTGCAATCATGTGATGACGCATGCCATTTTGAAACCACATGATCGTTTGCAGGGGGATGCCCCACACTTGAAGAGTGGGCATCTAACAAAGAGGCTCTTCAGAGTGTGCTGATATGGCTCCAGGACGCTGGAACCACGTACCTGCATGGCAGCCCCCTGTGGTGCCAAGATTAGTCTGAGGACAGGCCCCCTGTGGTGTCCAGACTAGACAAACACTTTACAGGTTTGCACGTTTGCCGCAATCTGACAAACACAAACAGCAAGTGCAACATGCCTCTTTCTCTTCCTTTCTGGACTCGTGCTCTTGGCCGAATCCGTCAGTGTGTTTGTATGTGTGTGTACATCTGGCTGCATGCATGCATGCATGTCATCATGTCTGTAGGTATTTATGCTATATTGGAAGTCGGCAGTACAGAATACGTGGAAAGTTTCAACTCTGTTGCTGCTATATATTAAAGATTACTAAAGCCAATCCTTGAAATAACCCCCCCCCCTTTACACTCGTGCCCTCCATCCTCCAGGACCAAGAAAATTGTCCACAAATCAGCAGTTGGAAACCCTGATGCGACAGTGGCTGTCATCCAAGACAAACGAGACGCACCCGCGAAAGCGAGGCCCCTAGCTGCTATTGGGCAACCAGAAATAGTGATACTTATGCAACGTATGCAAGTCTTAACTCCATAGTGGAAGTGCTGACCTAATGTAACAACATTGTTCTTCGAAGCAGTTACTCTCCCAAAGGTAGCGGTTCGACCCCGACAATCTAGCTCCGCAAACCCAGGCCGCACGTCTCTCTCGAAAGTCATACGTCTGTTTGTGATCCTAGCTTTCAACCTCGAATACGCAAGGAATAGACATCTCAACAGGCATCTGCGCTGCAGCAACTCCTGGCATAACCTGCCCAAGAAGCCTTTTGTGTTTCCTATGCAACCCACCGCACATCTCAATCATTTCGATGCCTCGAAGCTCAAGCGCCATTATCGTACAATTGTACAAATTGTACACTGAGCTTCCACGGTCTTTCTGGTAACCACGGGAACCGTATGCTAAAGGTTTAGCATCGGGCCTTTTAATGCGGAAACCTATCCCTGCCCACAACCCAGAACACGACACACCCTTCAGATTCTTATGACTCATGCCCGGCCTGTCTGCTCGGAAGCTATGAAGCGCGAGAACTCCGCGGGTTCTTGTGCCCTTCCAGGAAACCCGGAGTGCCCGGAGTGGCGAAACCTGCGAGGTCCGGAGTCGAGAGGCAGCGAGGCAGATCTGCGGCCGTCCTGGCCATCTTGGGCCTTGCTGTCCATGCGCGTGCTTGCCCGATTTTCTTTGCTCGCTGTCGCTGCTTCACGATTTGCTGCGCAGGTCTCGGTGGCTTCACTGGCTTGGTCCAAGGATGCACCCGCGGCAGCCTGCGCAGCACATGCACGGAGATGGTCACGCCTCAGATCAGGAAGACCAGGCAGCCTTATTGGCTCTGGATTTCGGTCTCCGTCCTCCAAGGAGCGCGATGTGGCCTGTAGATTTGGCTGTGACTGGCTGCGGCTTGTGGGTGACAGCTTCTGATTTTCGCGGCTTGTGCTTGTTCGTAAATACTCAGAGGACAGGTCGTCTGGAGTTCTGCATCGTGGTGCTCTGGGTCCAGCTGTACTGTCATCAGAAGGTCGACAGTTTTCGTCGGACCACCGAGATCCACTCGCTAGGGCTCCAGCCGTGTCCTCGTGGCTCTCACGAGTCTCGCTTTCAATGCGTGGATTCTGTGGGCCAGAGCTCTGGACGACACCACCTGACCCTGACGCGGTGTGTTTTCTTGAGTCAGTTGTTTGAGCAGTGCTCTGCTGAGAATCTCCATCACCTCTGTGTGCAACCGCAGTCGTTCCAGCGGAAGGCAGAACGTAGTCGGCGCGTTGTGGATGTTCCACGAATCCAGGTACCGGGAGCACCATGCTTGTTGCCATGGGCTCCTGCAAGCTTTCTTTCGAAGTTGACTTGACCGACCGATTGGACAAGGGCTTTGTTAGACACCCCTGCTCGAAGTCCATGGCCGTGTGATCCGTGTGAGGCAGTGGCTTCAGCTTTGGCAAGCGCTGTCCCAGTCCCCGCTCGCACGGCACAGATGGAACGGCCTGAGCGGAATTCGAGAGCAAGCCGACACTGAGGGGTCCAAGGGCAGACTTCGAGGATTCTGGAACTCCGCTGCCAGAGCCAGCCTGTGTCTGTGTCGTCTGCAGGCCAGCTGAATCGCGAGCGAGTTGTGCTCGCGCATACAAGACATCTACTGGTGGGCGCACAGGGCTTGACGGAGAGACCACGACCCGTTCGGGTCTGAGTGGTTGCTGTTCCACGCCTTTTGAGGCTTTTCGCGGTCGGGCAACCTTGCTTCTGGTGCCCACCTCGGCACCCGCCTCGGCACCCGCTGCATCCACTGCCTCAAAGACGCATGGTCGCAATGCTTGCAATAGGTCGGTCACAACCTTGGTGGGAGAGGTGGGCTCGTCCAATGGAACCAAGCTCACTTCATTCAATGCGTAATCTTGGCCTTGCAGTTTACCGCTGTCGCTCAACTGCTTAACGATTTGATCATTGACATCCTGGGCAACTTGTACCATTGCTGCCAGCGGGGTATCGCACAGATCACGCTCCAATGTAGATAATAATGTGGTGATGTGATCTTGCGAGGCATCACCAGCGTTTGTGCCGTCAGGCATCATTCGCCCCTTCCCCAGATTCTCAAGACCTCCCAACAAATTTCTGTTTACCCGCTGGCGAGGGCTTTTCAAGGTTTTCTGCAACTGAACACGCATGCTGTTGCAGTCTCCTTCAAGAAGGCCTACGAGGCGAATTATCTCTGCAGTGAACCGATCGAAGTCGCTCCGCATGGCGTTAAGCCCTTCTAAATTATTGCCGAAGGATGCCTGCAGCTGTTTCAAAGCAACTTCAGAGTTGTCGAAGCTCTTCGCGACGTTCAAGAATCTATTCCGAACATCATCGCCTCCATCGAAGCCCGACAGCATTTCAGCCAGGGTTCCAGCAATCTTTGTCACAGAGTCGATATCCTTCTGACCACCAAACCAGAACCGCACATCACCTGAAAGCTTGCGCCACATTTCATCGGCTTCTCTTGCTTGTCGCTGCTTCGTCTGCTCGACACAGCGCAAAACGATCTGGACGACTGTACTTTCCAGTATCACTGCCCGTGCAGCTTGACGAATTGCACAGGCTGCGCGACGACATTTCTCTCGAGGTGTCGGCTTGGCAGACCCTGCCGCGATCGAAGCAATGGCAAGGTAAGCCCTTGCGTGGTGATAAATGGCACGTGTAACAGCCTGTTGGGGGTACTCCTCCAGCGCAGAACTGGATCGCCTGCTTGGCAGAGCGCTTCTGGCGCAAGAGGAGCTGCGTCGGCGGTCTTGGCGTCCATCTGCACTTGGAGCTCTTGACATGGCTAGTGCAGATCCTGCAGCATGTTTGGGCATAAATAGCAGAGAGCTGAGTTTCATGGCTTGGCATGGGCGCTCGCTGACCCAAAAGCTTCGTACGATGCAGAAATCAGTAGGCAAAGCTGGCTTTTTGAAACCAGTATGCCAAGCTGCACGATGCGGAAAAAATGTCTGATGCCACGCCCCGTACTTTCAGTCCAAGCTGGGGAAGCATGGAGAACTCCGCTGGAAACCCTACTGCATGTTGATGCACAGACTCATGCTGCTTGCCTCACGTCAAACCTTTCGAACGACGCACTAGCCACAGCTTGCAGCTTATGCAGCAGATTTGGCGACACGGGACAGGCTTGCTCTTTTGGCAATGCTTCCAGCCAACACAGCAAGTTGGGTCGTACTTGCCGCAAGACCATCCTATCTAGTAGCTGGAGACTAGAGAACCACAAACGATTCTCTTCCCAACACTGTGCACAAGCACCGAGTGTGCTTGATAATGTCAGCACGTCCAATTTCAGCTCTCTTTCGAGTGCCACGCCCATCAGTCCGAGTGCCACTGTCCATAGCGACTTGGTCTTGCAAGCTTCGAGTGCCACATTGACAGGTTCAATAGGCATTTGCGCATCGAGCAAGCCCATTACCAGAATCCATTTTCCGTGCTCCCCGCAGGTTGCCATCGCCGATCCTTGCATGACCCTATCACCTTTGGCAAAAGCATCGTCTGTGCTGGCGACTGCCAGCTGCCAAAGTGCTCTTCTCCACGACTGCGAGGAAAAAGCGATGGCAGCCCCTGAGGCATTCTCTCCATGTCTCTCTCCCCTCTCTCGGTCTTTCAACTTAACATGCTTCCCGAACCTTGCGAAGTTCTGTCACCTTGAAGCCGTCTTCTCCGCAGCCTGGGTCGAAGAATGTGCTGATGCATCGAGGATCCCGAGCCTTTACCGGAACAGAACGTGTGCAGACTTCGCCAAGCGACTCTTTCAGGAGCATGACGGCTTGTCTTCTTTGCCGCCCTCGCTCGCAAGCTCCGGCAGCTGCAGTGAAGCCGACGGCCGTCACTCGTGCAGTTGCATCCTCCAAACCAAGAAACCCGCAGGTTTAGACTTTGTCGGTTTCTCCGTTGCAATGGGATCCTTGGAGCTTGAGCTTGGATCTTTGGGTTGTGTCTTCCGGCCGAGTGTTGACGACTGCTCGTTGCTGGCGTCCTAGCATGCAATGCTTTGCAATCATGATCAATCATATCCTTATTCGGCGGGGATTGCTAGTCCACGGTCGACGACAACTGAGGCTACGGTAGTGAATTTCAGAAGCAATATTCGCCAGTTCAACCTGGCACCATGTCTCATGCTGGTTTCGGGCATAAGCACAGTATGTCAGCATGACACGCGTCGGCTTGCAAGATGGTGCTCGCATAGGCGGACATGATGTTGGATTAAACGGCATTGACACGATGTTGAGCAGAAGCTTGATACTTGGAGGTGCAGAGCCCAGATAATAAGGATCCTGACAATCGACCATAGAAGAAACACACTCCGTCACTCCGCAGGCAAAAGGCACAAAGAGCGTAACAGCGCGGCATCGGAAACCGCAAACTATCTAAACGAGACGAGAGAGGCGAAGCAAAACTGCGAAATGCCAACGAGCGAAGTCTCCAGCCAACTCGGGCCACTTCTACTTTATTACTTTCTCGCCTGATCGACTACGAGACAGAAGCGAAGTAGGTCCGACATGTCTCTAACATCGGTGTTGCATTGCGGAGGTTTACGTAGAAACAAGATTGGCGGATTCAAAACTCAAAGGAGCCTCACATGCCAAATGAAGTGATTCCTCATCAACAAGCGATCTAATTAGACTTTGCTCGATGTTTGGTTTCGGTTGAAACCCTACCTAGTCCGAGCAGCAGTACTGTGGTCCTTTGTCGCGAACCGATGGACGAGTGCCACGGCAGCCTGGCCAGCAGCTGCATCCGAAGGACATAGCGGTTCTAGCTTTCCTTGCGCCGTTCATGTTGTGGCGAATGTGGCGCCTGCCAACACGCAGTCTTCCCACAGCCACCTGGCTCAGCCAGCTAGCCGGATCACCGAACCCGACACAAACTTGCTACGGCCGGCACCGATGACATTGTTCACCGCAGAAAGTGCGTGAGCTGAAGCGGGAAGCAAAGCCTACAGTGAAAAACTGCGCGGCTGGTTTTCAGACGGTGACCTCCGAATCGTCACCAAGCTTCTGGCTTCCAGTGCCTGTCAGCTCAGATGAAACCCGTGGTGGAACTTCTGCCCATGGCTGAAACGGCTTCTTTTCTGCCTGCTCCCAGGGAACCGTGTTAGAAGCAATCGCCAAAAGCACGCCTTGTCTTTGCAGGTCTTTTGTGTGTCTTCCAGATAGCTCCATATGCCCTGCAGCAGCCTAAACCACTGCGGCTCCTAGGACCCCGCAGGACGCAGACAAGCCCTGCTTCTTTGGGATCCGTGCTGCTCGCTCGCACCGTTGACAGGCGCATCTCCTTGCGGACGAGGTAGACTTTGCATCAAAGTGGTGCTTGTCTTGCTACACGTATGTATGGTCCAGTGACTCCAGTCCAATGGCCGTGCTTCCGCAGTATGAGCTGCAAGATGCATCTGAATCGATGCCCATTCCGGCAACACAAACAGGAGTTAAATTATTCGACACTCCGTGCAGTCCTCCAACCACTGCACAGCTCGCGACCAGTTCGTGTCCGCCAGTACTGTGCCAAAAAAAACATCGTTGACAGCAAGTTCCTGCCGACATTGCAGCGCCTTTTCCGCAGTGCTATGTGTCAAAGGAAGCTTTGAATGAATCCGAATACGATCAGATGAGATCCCAGGGGCCCCGAGCCCGAGGATACCATTAAAGGTAAGTTTTTCCTCTGTCACATTCACGACGACGACTACTACTACTGCTATTATTATTATTACTACTACTACTACTACTACTACTACTACTACTACTACTACTACTACTACTACTACTACTACTACTACTAAATTTCAATAATTTAAATCCTGGGGAGGGGGTTCCCGGGGGGGTCCGGGACCCGGGAATTAAATAATGTAAATAATTTAAATCCGGTGCCACCCGGGGCTCTCCCCCAATATTTAAATTGTTTGATTCCCGGGTCCCGGACCCCCCCGGAAACCCCAATAGGGTTTATTTGGAAGCGGCCTCTTGTGTACATAAGAGGGATTTAGAATGGTTTTTCCTCACTTATACACAAAAGGCAGCTTCCAAATAAACCCGGTTTAAGCCGCACACCCCCCCCCTCTACCTTATCCCACGCGCCGCAACCTTCAAGGAGGGAGGGGAGGGAAGGGGGTGGCGCGCCGCACCTTATCCTTCGAAGATACTTCATGAACGAGGTGAGGGGGGGGGCACCCCCTCCCCCCCCACCCCCCACCTTAACTCTTGGACGTCCCACCTGATAAGGTGCAAACCATGTTTTTTCCCTAGTGCCTTAATACAAGGTGAATTGCTAGAGGACAACTCCCGCAAGCTCAACGGAGCTAGCTTTCGTGATTGAATCCTGCATCCCAACTGAATATTTTGCTGAAGTTCCAACTACCAAAATAATTACGACCTACAAGCTGGCCCTTAGCCTGGGGCGCCCATTACTAGCTTACAGGCTCCATTAGTCAGATATCATGACGGTGCTTGAAAGTTTCTTGGCTTGAAGGGCGACAATCTCGATCCACACCACTCCCCTGCTCACAGCTCCGAAGGCACCTGTGCCCGGGCTGCCTCCAGAGACGTGTGCGTCTGCTGCCACTGATGACCTAAGCAGCAATCTGCAGGGATGACACCACAAAGGCGTTCAAACTTGAACAGGAACTCGTCTGCAAAGCAACCAAAATAGCAGCCTGTGTCCCAGTAGTGCCATTTCGGGAAGCCGAGTGCGCAGCCGATTTGTCCAGCTGCCGTGGCAGCGCACAGCATGACGACATTTTGCTGCAAACGGCAACGCCGAGCCGCCTCGACTCTATGAGCTGGTGAATCCGTGCTCTCGGGCGTGGGCAGCTTGAGTCAGCGGTAAAGAGCAGGAGTTGCTCCAGCACAAATCCTAAAATTAAACATCTTCGGCCCAGCGCGACAAGACGACACCGATGAAGCTCGCTTCGAAGCGATGTCCAACATTCGGGACATACGCGGAACCCACACATCCTAAGTACTGTTGATGCTACGAGCCAGGAAGAGTGGTATCGGTGTCCGCTACGGCAGTGATTGAATACTTGTACTAGCACTAGTACTGGAATTCGAGGCTGGGGAGTCTCGAGCTGTTGAGGGCTAGCACAACCCTGACGCATAGTCTTCGCAAGTGCCCCAGCCCATGCAACTTCAAACCGAAACTCAGCTGATATTGACAAGGCCGGGCCAAAATGCAGCTTTATACAACGGGGTATTTATTGGGCCAAAATCCCGCTTAATACTAAGCGATCTGCACAAGCCTGAACTTGAAGTAAACGCATCAAACGCCACAGACTGCATTCCCAACACCTGCTTGAAATGCAGTCTGTGCGAACACTTTCACAGTGTGTGTGTGTGTGTGTGTGTGTGTGGGTGTGTGCGCGCCTGCATCAGATCCAATGCAGTAGCCCATCCTTGGCGGCATCACATCGTGACTTGCAGCTGCTCGGAAGGAAGAACGTCGAGTGCTGAGGCATGTACGGCTCGCCCTGCTGACACAGGTCATGCATGCACTCCACAGATAGACACTCTTCGCGAGGCTGCTTCCTCTGCTCGTCTCCAAGTGCACCAAGACGTCGCGCCACGCATCTCTAGAGACGTCCATGTCTTGTGTGCATGCAGCAGTACTGGAACAGGTCATCACATCAGGTTGGAGCTTTGCTAATGACGCTTGCAGCAGCAGGGACGACGCTCGAAACCAACCTGCTGGTTGTCCCTTCAGGGAGGAAATAGCTGTGTTGTAAGTCACGGTGTCCGCAATCTGTTGTTCACGTATCAGTCGCAATGTCGCCAAAGCACGGCTCCATGACTTCCCCTTTGAGACTGCGCCAGCCAACGTGTTCCAAGAGTACATGTCGGGAGACTTCTGTGCAGCTGTCATTAACAACGCCAGTTGCCAGCGGCCATGAGATGCAATGGCACCCAAGGCGATGTTGAACACAAGCAAATCCGTCTTCAGTGCGTGGTGCTTTGCATCTTGAATCTCCTGCAAGGCTGGCCTCCAACGACCTGCACGACGGAACCTGCTCAAAGCTTTACCCAAAGAGACCGCTGATCTGAATTGTGAGCCCACTTGTCTGGGTGGAGCTTGCTGGGACGTGGACGCATCGCTGAGGGACCAGGACAGCATCGACTGGCCTCCTAGCATCTGAACGCGAATGCGGCCCGGGCCCCGAAAGACCGATCATCTTGACAATCGCGCACTTCATGCTTCACCACTCTCACAGCCGCCGCTCACAGCGAGAAACATGGTGGGCTATCCTGACCTAAGCATCGGAACATGATCCCGAATGGCTGGACAGGAGCATTGCAAAGTCCAAGGCAAGCCGCTGTCAACCCGTATCTCTGCATATCTCTGTTACACAAGGCCTTTTGTGCTCGCATCGCGAATGGTGTCCGCTTAAATGCCTATCCTTTCTCCGTGTGTAAGCAAGAACCGTTGTCTAGATTTTGACGTATCTCCGTGTAAACCAATGGTGTAGGACACATGCGTAGGACAGAATAGCCATACAGGCGTACGGGATGTGCAGCCTAGCTCTCAAATGGTCAATTCTGTTTTGCAGAACCACGTGTAGCTGTACGAAGTGGAACTTCAAGGATGCGGTCGCAATCAGACTCAGCAGACGTCGACGGCCTGAGGGCGAGGCGTCCAGCAAAGAGTATGGGACCTATGGGATGTCTGGAGAAGGGGCTGTCTGAAATTTGTTGGGCTTGGCCAGATTTCGGCCGAAGTGGGGTCGGGGGATCATCAGTCTCGAGTGCTGCACCGTGACCAAAGCATTTCAATCGAAGAAGGACAGAACAGCTGTACACAACAGTAAGCAGACGGCTGTTATATACGCACGTACCAGCAATTCCACAAGGAACCTATCAAGGTACAGAGCATACCTGCTGATGGTAGTTTCGGGCTAGAAGTAGCAGTAGCAACAAGCACCACGACAATCTCGACAGAGTTGCAGCACCGAGAACGCAGAAGGATTCAAGACTGCGCTACCCCATACTACCCCCAGCCAGGTACCCGCCCACTCGTGTAGCCAAGCAGGACTTTGCCCTTTGCACAGTCCAATTGTGAGTGCTTCTGTTGACTCCGACAAAACCTTGACCGGAAGACATCAGGCGGGTTTGCAAACACAATTCTGTCGGTCTTAAGCTGTCGATGCTCTCGCCAGCTCTAGCCAGCAGCGCCCACAAGGGATCCAGCCTCGGATTCCCAGGCAATTTGAGACGAGGGCTACGACAGCTAGCCACACGACTGCAATGTTGGCAGAGCCTGCTTTCGCTGCCATCGACATGTTCGCAACAGCAATTGCACCATCAAACGATTGTAGAGAAGCAACAGCGAACAATGCCATACCCAAATCCGCGCCGCAGGAGGCTAAATAGTGACATGATGCTACAACCGAATCCTGGAATCACATATCCCTTGTCGCCAAAACAAGAAAGCAGAGTCCACAAGGCAGCATGGATGCAAGCATTATTCTGCGTGACGCTGCATCCGAAGGTCTAACCCTGGAAACACCGTCTCTCGGCTTTCCAGCAGGTGACCACAAAGGTACCGCCGTCTTATGACGGGCGAAGTAGTTCGTTTGCCTACGAAGATGTGATCGATGACTGCTGTGATGTCACAATGATGAGAGAAAACCAGCTTTGCGAAACTGTTTGGACGGTGAAGCCGCGATTCACAAAAGGCTTCTGGACAGGGGCCGCCTGAAGGACATTGAAGTACCCGAACAACGGAGTTAAGTACTTCAAGAGTTTCCTTCGGCGGCTCTTCGTGAAGGGCGCAGCCAATGTGTTCCTCTACTGACTCTACTCTGCCGTTTCCCGCAGTTCATGAACTTGCGCCGCGGTAATGGAGACATGCTTCGTTGGATTACCAGGTTTCAACTCTGTGTAAAAAAGGATGCAGGAAGCTTGGAACGACACCTGCCTTCCGATCAGGGACCCGAGCAATACTGGGGTCCGAGCATGCATAGCTGGACTTACCGCAGAAGAACAAGCAGACATCACAGCCGAAGATGCGATGGAACGAGCCAACAGTCGGCTCAGACGTCAACCTCGCTGCCCTCATCTTTGTTTCCCTGTCCGACCTCACGCAGGATCAGCGGCAGGCGTTGACTTCATTGATGGCCCATCAGAACTGGGTGCTGGCACCTGGAGATCTCTGCACGACCAAGACTTCCGCGACAATCCTTTCCTCGTTCCTTCAGCTAATGGTGGCCGCAAGGCCTTCTTGGTGATCGACGAGGGCTACCTGGACAATCACGAAAGCTATCCTTGAAGCAGATGAGGATGCCTTCTGAGTCTATGACGAGGAGAAGTACACATGGTTCCAGCGACGCTTCCAAGGTCGCAAGATGCGACGTGGATTCAAAGGAGGCCGCCGGAAAAGCACAGGATCCAGTGGAAGACGTTTCTGTAAGAAGCGGAAGAAGGGCAAATCTAAAATTGCCGATGATCAGACCAATGCTTGGCAAGCAGATCGACAACGGCAGGACAGCCAACAATCAGTCGTGGGATGATTGGTCCTGGTACGAGTCCGAGGACTGTGCAGCCAGGGAGCAAGGCAAGAAAGAGGAAAATGGCCAAAGAAAAGGCAAGTACGGAAAAAACGGAAAGGACAGAAAGTCCGGCTCCAAGGATGGGGCAGCTCGACTTGCCGATGCTGCCTAGAGCAGTACCACACTGCCACTACCTTTTTCGTGGACCACACGGACCCATTGAAGTTTTCTCTCACGGCCACCGAAGAGCAGGGGTCATCGCTCAGCCTTTGACACCGACATCCACGGTTTTCGACTTGGGGTGTACGAGAGCGATGCCTTCGCGAGTGGCCGCGCAGGACCTGATTAAGTTCCGTGACCAGAACCCGGACTGTGGCATTTGGTACACGATTGCCAAGACTACGTCTCAGTTCACCTTTGCCGACTCCGAGTCGACCAAGTGCAACCAGAAGCTCGTTGTGTGCATGTACGACCGGGAGTACGCAGTCCAGTCCATAGAGTTTGACATTGTGGAGCAAGGTCATGTTGCGATTCTCACGTCCTTGCCACAGATGCGCAACCTAAGGTTCCAGTTCGATCCATCCCCAGACAACGCGTTGCTTAGCAGTCCAGTACTGGGAATTGCTAATGCTGCTAATGTGAAGTTGAAGGTTGCACCTAGCTCACATCTCGTACTTGATCTTCTTGGACTCAGTCGTCTCATCTGGAACTTTCGCTTCGACAGACACAAGAAGTCGAGCTGCCTCACCTACTTCTCGCATTACGAGTATGGGTTTCATCAAAAGACTCTGGGAAGCTCTTCACAAGAAAAGGACGAACCCAAGGACTTCGTCTTTGCGACTGTTGATGAATGGGTCATCGATGAAGTCAAACGGGAGCTGATTCGAGTCCACAAGCAGATGTGGAAGGCAAAGTACGAACCCAAGGATGGACTCTCGCCAATTCCGTTGGAGCCTTACTCAAGAAGATGATTGGCGTTCTAGTGAGCGTCCTACCTCGAATGCCTCTGAGTCTTGGAAGGATAGAACGATCTTTCAGCACTCACTCTCGGACGAACCACAGAGATTTTGCGTGGAGGCATGGAGAGCAAGACCTCGGTGTCTGCTGCTGCTACGACCCGTGATCCTGCCCGGGCCAGGGTAGGGCCGACAGATCTAAGAAGCCAGGAGCAGAGAGAGGCTTTCCGCCAGGAAAGGTACCGATCGCACCAAGGGAATGAGGATGATCCGGATCTTCAAGAGTACGCTCCTTCAGAGCCTGACGGGCCTGAGGGCGATTCCACCGAGAGCACACGAGAGCTCATTGCTAGAACCTCGGAGGACTGCGCTTCCATTACTTGGCCAAGAGCTTACAGGGGCCTCTCCGAAGTATCAGCGCGCGTTGGAAAAGTTGAACAACGACGTTGAGCTTTAAGAGTTGCATGTGAAGCATTACCACATGAGTTCAGCTCAATTTCAACGAATTACCCAGCATGCTTGGGCGCCAGGAGAGATCTATGACAAGTACGACCGCATTGTTTGTTTAAGCGCGCATGGTCGATTATAGCACAGGCCTTGGCGGATGAAGGTTACGCACAAAGGGTGACTGTTCGACAAGCAGAGAAGAATGTGGCTTGGGCAAGGAATTGTCAGCTGACCGTCTCTGGCTATTCCCCTTTGCTAATAGCCACTGGGAGACGACCACCGGATCTGTTTGATGTTGAGAACAGTACAGTACTCCTGAACGGCTCTCTGCTCATCCTCCGGACGAGGATCGTACCATTCTGGATCTTCAGAGAATTGCCATGCGTGCTCATCAGGAAGCCCGGCAAGCACTTGATTTCCGGAAGGACTTGGCTCGTCGGGCTATGCTGTCGGATGGTCCCTATGAGAAGGGAGATCGTGTGTTTGTGTGGCACAGGGATGAGTCGAGAAAGAAGTCTGAAGGCATTTGCGTCAGAGGAATTGCTGTGTCACAAGAAGGTGCTATGGTGTTGGTCGAGGTTCGCTGCACTGTGCTTCGGGTCAATCAGTCGAAGGTCAGACGCGACGGAGACCCGCGGCATGATGTGGCCACTCCTCTGAAGTCTGATGATTCACGAAGATCTACAGAGACAGAGGTACATGATGATATCGGCCCGGGACGCTCATCTCAGGAAGAGGCATGCGACCGAAATTGAAACGTGCCGGTTCCCCGTACCGCTACGAGCATGAGATCTGTTACCATTCCCTCACTTCAGGTATGAGCGATTTCGTTGAGTTCTCGCCTCACCTCACAGGGACTCACTGCGTGCACCTGCCAAACTGTCAATGTACGTCAGAGTCGAGCAACAAATTGGAGAGGTTGTTAAAGAGCATCGAATACTCTTCTGACGAGGGAAGAACCGGCAATGGCTCTGAATTCCTTTCTGATCTCAAGCACAATGCGCACAAAGCTCCATCAAAGCCTTCGAAGATATCCTCGAACAGATAAGCTTGTCGCAGATCAGAATGATTGTCACCAGCAAGAAAATGCGACAACAGCACAGCAAACCGAGGATCAAGTGTCGTCGTAGGGTTACAGCGCTCCTCCACTTCAGGGAGCGACTGCACTGAGACAACCAAAACCCAGAATGTGCAGGGTACATGATCGTCACGAAGTAACCCTCATCCTTTGCCATCTTGCCAGC